CATAAGCGTGGATTTTTAAAGAATATTTTTTCTAGGGTCATAACATCCATAAGAGTGGATTTTTAAAGAATATTATTTCTAGGGCCATAAAGAATATTTTTTCTAGGGCCAGAAGCGTTGATTTTTTAAAGAATATTTTTTCTAGGACCAGAACAACCATAAGCGTGGATTTTTAAAGAATATGTTTTCTATGATCAGAACAGCAAAAAGCGTGGATTTGTAAAGAACAATTTTTCAAGGACCAGAACATCCACAAGCGTGGATTTTGAAACAACAATTTTTCAAGGACCTGAACATCCACAAGCGTGGATTTTGAAAGAACAATTTTTCAAGGACCAGAACATCCACAAGCGTGGATTTTGAAAGAACAATTTTTCAAGGACCAGAACATCCACAAGCGTGGATTTTGAAACAACAATTTTTCAAGGACCAGAACATCCACAAGCGTGGATTTTGAAACAACAATTTTTCAAGGACCAGAACATCCACAAGCGTGGATTTTGAAACAAAAATTTTTCAAGGACCAGAACATCCACAAGCGTGGATTTTGAAAGAACAATTTGTTAAGGACCATTTGTCAAGCCAGCGTGACCAGCGTGGATTTTGATTTTTCGAAAAACATTACATTTTTTGTCAAGGACCTGCGTGGATGTGTAAAGAACAAATTTTCAATGACAAACTTAGCTATAAACGTGGATTTTTAACGAATAAATTTTGAAGGAACAGGAAGACCATTAGCGTAGATTTTTAAAGAACATTTTTGAGGACCATTTTTAGAAAATTGATTTTTAAAATCACTATAAAAACAACACATTTTCGAGTGCGTTTATGAAATATATATAGTAGCCCCGCAAAGAACACCTTTTTATTGAAAATATTTTTTTATGAATTCCAATCTAAGTCATGAATTCTGAAGATCTGAATCATAAGTCAGTATTTTGTTCAAAATATTATCTTCCACATAAACAATTTTTATAATTTTGTATTATTTTATACCTAATTCTAATCGCAAAACAAATAAAAAAGAATATCTGCATCGGCCGGGAATCGAACCCGGGCCGCCCGCGTGGCAGGCGAGCATTCTACCACTGAACCACCGATGCTGCTTGAAGATCTCACAAGCAGTAGCAACATTTATTCCACAAAGTTCAATGAATGCATCTCAAAACAATTCAAAGCAAAAAAACCACAAATCTGGAACCAGTTTAGCATCTTCATGCAGCAGTTGCTGATCAATAGTATCGCCGATACCCAACGTCATCAACATCATCTTCATAATAGATAAACAAATATTAAACTCAAAACTGGCTAGTTGGAGTACAACCAACCAATCTAAACACACACATACTTTAAACCCCATTTACCTTCTCTTCTTTTTTTCATATCTAATAATATTAGTTATGTTTCCAAATAGCTTAAAGGAAGGTGGTCTTGAAATGAAGAAAACCAGTCAGTCAGTCAAACACTCACTCAGTAAGTCAGTATCACTGAGTCACTATGCCAACTAGTTGAGTTGGGCGGCAACAACACCCCAGCTTAAATTACAAGTGCATATCAATCATACAAAATAATAATTATGAATGAATAATAAAAAATTGGAAACAAGAATCTAACGTATGTCATCGCCGCCGACCATCATCATCATCGTCGGCTTCGGTATTATTATTCATTCATTCATAAATATTTATTCTATGGCTGCAGAACCCCGTTCAAGTCCAGTCAATGTCTCCAACGTCCGTTTCATATAAAAAATGTCGACAATCAAACGACGTTGTCTATTAAATGTACTCACCGGCGATACTCCTCTCCGTAATAATAATCAAAGAAATAAATAAAAAATAACCGTACAGATATCTCCTCTAATGGCACGTGATCCATTCAATACGTTGTTGGAATTTAATTATCGGCGTTACACTGGGCAACAGAAAAAAATAATTTTTGTTGATTTTTAAAAGTGGAATAGGTTTAATTCCAAAGGAAATTATAGAATAGAATATAAAAAAATACCATATATGTTGGATTTTTAAAAATTGCCTACAATGTACTTACATTATTTCCGGGATGCTACAATTGAAGCCCATATTTAAAATATTTAACCTGAAATAGAGAAAAGACAAGTGAAATTAGTAGTAGTAGTAATTTATAAATCCTATGAATAATACAAACTAAATTAGTATATGTTCAGGAACCTGAAACCATTGTAGGAAATATTTTAAAATAAACAGATCGAATCTTAAATTGGTCGAAGCTTTGTTAATAAATTAATAATTAATGGGTAAATTACAAGTAATTACAGTGAAGAAAGTACATAAGTCGGACGGGACCGACCATATGATACGCTTCAGAGCTTTGGGTACAAACAGGGATGCTCCTACGTTCAATAACCTGTCTATAGAACAGACATAGCATCTTTGAAGGACCATTGACATGAAATCTGACGAAATTAAAATAGGATTTTCATAGATATATTTACCAATTTATATCAACCCCTATACACACTATAATGAAATCTATATAAAAAATTATGGTTTCTTTGGTATGAAATAGAGCAAAATTATATATGAGAGCTATATGCAGATCAGGACCTAATACCATTTGGTATACTGCAGCAAAGTGCGCTGTCCAAAATTTTATCTCGATCTGAGAAACTTTTATTATTCTATATTCAATAATCTATGTTCAATTTGGTACGTTGTGCACAAATTGGACCCGTTCGGACAACCATAAGTTATTTGGTACAGTATTTAGCTGAAATCGGATGAAAATACATATGAAAGCTATATCTAAACCTCAACCGATTTCATGTAAAGCGAACCAACATAGGCTCCTTGGTGCACCATAACATAAAACATTCTAGACTAAATTCCATACCTGCTGCTAAATTTCGTGTATATGAAACAAACAGGCTCCTCAATGTACTATTTTAATACAATCGGACGAAAATATAGATGGGAGGTATATCTAAATTTGAACCGATTTAAAAAATAAATTAAGACACATCACTCTTGGCTCAATTGCAATCGCTATACAAAATGTTGTCTCAATCGAACAAATATTGGGAGTTTGGTGCATTATTTACAATTGGACACACCTTTGGGGTTTGGTGCACCATTCAGATAAAATCGGACGAAAATATATATGGGAGCTATATCTAAATCTGAACGATGTTCTCCAATAGGGTTTGTCTTTGGCCCAAATAAACGATCTGTGCCAAATTTCATCCAATTCGCATTATAAATGCGACCTATGATTTGTTTACGATTAAACGTGGACAAACGGACGGGCGACATGCACAAATCGACTCAGAAGAGGTCTTATGTATATTCTCAAAATGAACCATGTGTCTACCTCGTTTACTTTTGCCTGTTACAAACATATGCACAAAGACAAAATACCATGTACCACAGTATGGTGTAGGGTATAAAATGTGGAGGTTTAAACGCTTCAACGATGAAAATCGTTCACCATCCACTTTTGTCTTGATTTTGAACGACTTTAGAGCTAATGGCTCATAAATTCCTCATTTTTGTTGATCAAGAAGGTGCTTGTGTTGGACGAGAGCAGTTTTTTTACAATGAAAGACCGCATTTCTAATTTTTCTATTGTAAAAAATTGCGGATGCGTCCTTTTTGAACACCTATTTCGATATGAAGTAGTTACCAGATCGATCCAAAATTTAACATATCTTCATAACAGAGATGGAATCATCTCTGATGATTTTATTAACGCTTTTTGAAGCACCACATTTGTAAAGTATTTCGGATCCAACAACAACAAACAATTTTGCCCCCAGTGGTTCCTGCAACATCGAACGTATCCCGATGATCTTGCGATATTTGGACGACCATCGTCCTAAAGCGAGCGTCGGCCTTTTTGTAATTGATTTTCCAATTCACTGTTAACAACACAACACATCGTCGTACGTCTAACCCTACTGTAAACGATTATGCTAACAAATGTCAAACGCTCTAATGAAAATATCAGATGGCGTTAGGCAACGTTAAGGTTAGAAGTATATATGGTAGCTCTCACATATATTTTGGATCTGATACGTTTTAAGGAATTTAAAGTTCTCGAAAAGTAAGTTCTCATGTCAGAATAATTTCAATATAAGTCTATATTTAGCAATGAGCGCATATATTAATATCCCTTAAAATTAGCATGGCCCTGCAGCATTTCACCACTGAAAAGACTGTTACTAAGAATATCGAGTACTCAGAGGTAGTAGAAATATGAGTTCATAGCCCTATTAAATTTTAAGTATTTTGAAGCATCTAGCCCAAATTTTCAACCGAAGTAGGTGAAAAGGTGGAAAATTCCATATGGAGATGAAATATCCTCCTTCTAAGTATATCAAAACAATTTGGAAAGTTCATGTGCGAATTTTATAACTCCAGTGCCTGTATTATGGTAACAATGGAATGCAAAACTAACCACAATCTAGTTAGTGAAGAGACTGCGGTTGTAAACATGAGAAACAGTACAGTCGAACAATGAATGGTGTGTTGGGGTTATTCTTCGGAAGAATACATTTGTTTTTGTCAAAAAAGCGAAAAGGAAATATGAGCGCAAATAGTGGTAAAGTAGAGCGAAGTAGGATAATAATTTTAATATTCATGAAATATTTAAATTTGTTGCCAAATACAACAGCTTTCTTGTGAGGTGCATGTACAAAATAAAATAAAAAAATAAACATTGAATAAAATTATGAAAACATTCATTAAATGTTTTTTTTTCTGTTTTTGGGGTCACCATTTTTTTAAATATATTTATAATCAAGAAAAATATCAAATTTCCTGTAAACTAGTGTTATCAGTAATTAATTATTTAAAGAAGCCGGCATTAAGAACACTTATCGCTATCACATTTAATGATCTTCATACACACATTTTTGTGTACACACACACACAAATGCTTTGTAGTATTACTGTAAAATATAATTTTATAGATTCTTATTTTTTATGACTTTTTCAATAACACTTGACTTCTTTTTTTTACAGATTTGGTGGACAGCACTGTCCGTTGCACTGGGCCTCGATGTACGTGGCGATTTGATAAAGGGTGTGCCATGCATAAAACGCTATCATCAGCTATTCTGTCCGACGGCCGGTAACAGTTATCCAATGTAAGTCAATTTCCTATTTATCTTCAAAATAAAATATGATTTAGTTGATATTTGACGATATTGTGGCTTCAACGCATTTCCAATCAATGGCCCAACTAACTAAATCTGTTTTGGCTGTGGGGTGACCTTAACCTTTTGTGTGGTGTTGAAAATTTTGATAAATTGTGTATTTTAATAGTTTTTTTTTATTTGTTGTGGCCATCTTCTAAATTTAAATTTTGAAAAATTAACCAAAATTCTTCATCAGTAGCGAGAGAGAGAGATTAACTAAAAATAATACAATAATTGGCAAACAGCGGCAGCAACAAAAACAACAATTAATAATTAGCACTCATAAATATGACCCACTTAATGATAATTCAAGGTTTCACACGCGGATAGATGAATAACAACAACAACAAAGAAAAAATCACAACCGTAAAAATTAAACAATTAACTATTAAAACGTTTGGCCAAAAATATTCGTTTTTTCTAAAAGGTTGTTTTTCGGCAAAAATTAAAGATAAATTAAACACAATTAAAATAGGCGCCACAAGTGTAGAGATTGCCAATTAGGTACCTACAAAGTGGATTATGAAAATAAATTAGTTTATTTTTTCATTTATTGGAACTTTTGGAAAAATGGGGATCGGAAGTTCAAGGTGATAATAAGACATGTGGAACCTGTGCCCATTCGAAGCTTATAGTCATCCGAGATATCGTTATTTTCGGTTGCGTGAATCGGTTTTAGTTCTTTACACTATGGATCATATTTCCATCTGGAGATAAAAATCGATGCCAGAACGATATTAGGATGCCAGAAAGGCCAATTTCCCATAGATCAATTATTCCTTCCTTGTGTCCTTTTTTTTCTTATTTTCTTCAAATTTCACACATCGATGTTCGTCTTTTCCCACTTTTACCGAACCTTCCCTAGCACCTTTCCTTGTAACGATGTACTATCGGATTCGTATGGAATATTTAAATAACAAGATGTCACTATGTGATTCACGATAGTTAAGGCTAATTTTTATAGTTGAATTTTCCGATAATAAAACGAGTTTGAATCTGTTTTATATGGGTTTATGTCATAGCAGCCTTTCCTCTTCACAAAAAAAATAGCCACTATTGGTATTCTCTCTTAAATACAGTTCCTATCTAAGGATATGAATTAAAATATTTTTTCTTTTTTAGTAAAAAGTATTCCGCCCGAGCAGGGACTTGAACCCTGGACCCTTGGATTAAAAGTCCAATGCTCTACCGACTGAGCTACCCGGGCTCACGGAGAAGTTTCAACCTGCAAAATTATCCTCGAATTTTTGAACTAGTCTCGAAATATCCGAAACTGTCGGATTGAAAGTAATTTTTCAGTTCACCGTTAAATTAATAATATAATTTTTTTTGTAAATTGTGCGAAAATTAACAAAACTAATAATACAATAATATACCCAAAACAGGTCTCGACCCATATCAAAATGGGCAAATTTTTCTACGATGACGTTTTTTACCCATCACGAACAAAATTATAGTTTTCAATTGGAAAATGGATTTCGGACCAGCTAAAGGCCTAACGTGGCCCAAAATTTCGTACAAATAGGTGTTTTACATATGACAACACTTCGGCTCGGAAAATGTGACAAAAACCTTAAAAAAATTGGACGAACTTAAAAAAGATTTGCAGGTGCGTCGCTTTTATATGCCATTTGAGCTGAGGCATCCTCATCCATTCTCACAACATGGCATAGCCAACATAGTCGCTGCAGCTCGATACGTCTGACTATGTCGATGTTCAACTCATTGTTCATTCGATGGCGATATTGACCGTCTACGCCGATCGGAGAATTCTGAGAATTTTTCTTTCAAACACTCCTAGAGCTGCCTCATTTGCATGCGCAAGTACCCATGCTTCAGATCGATAGAACAGCACGGGTAATATCAGCGTCTTGTGGAGAGTGAGTTTGGTCTGCGGAGAGGTGGCCTTGAGTGGCTTTTGAGTTGGTTAATCAGACCATAGTAACAACTGTTGGCCAGCACTATTCTCCTACGGATTTCAAAGTTAATGCTTAGTTTTGGTTTTGTTTATGGCGGTACCAAGATATATAAAAACATTGACTACCTCGAAGCTCCCGAGTCTACTGGACGTCTTGCGCGTTGATACCATTATCTTGATCTTCTCGCCATTTACTACCAGTCCCACCTTGGCAGACTCCTTCTCAATTAGTTCTATGGTGGCTGTTACCGCTCTCAATGTTCGATCAATTATATCGATGTCATCGGCGTAGGCAAGTAACATGTGTTGTTTGATGTACAGAGTGCAATTTCTGTTCACATTTACATCTCGTATGACCTTTTTTTTTCTAAAATTATGCCTCTAAAATTCCTCCGTCATATTAAAATTGTGTAAATTAAGCAAATTAAAACAACTTCAATATAACATTTTGTTAATGACAACAAGAAGTCGATTTTCCAGTTTTATTTTGTCATCCTTTGAAGTTTACGAGAATTTACAGAGAAATAAAATAAAAATGACGATTGCAATTTGTCGCTGTCAACAAATTAACACATTTTTACAACTTTATACATCAAACAAATTACACCAACTAAATATATATATTGGAGTTCATTAAACCAAAACGGCAAATGCGGAAGACTTGTTATATTAACTAAACGGTAAACTGACTTTTACTACACATCAATATCAATGACATATTCCGGTTCCCACGAACAAATGAAAAACAATATCAAGATATTGTGGTAGCTTCGCCTAAGCTCCTTAGAATGATTTCGAGACTAGTTCACACATGTATTGTTAAGTCTAAAAAATCGAGGATTGAAACCAGTTCCCGATTGAAACTAGTTCCCAGTTGAGCAAAAATCCGACAGGGATAAGCTGGATATTTTCTTCCAGAGCCCGGGTAGCTCAGTCGGTAGAGCATTGGACTTTTAATCCAAGGGTCCAGGGTTCAAGTCCCTGCTCGGGCGGAACATTTTTTACTACATTCGCATGAAGAAAATTACTAATCCACAAAAGAAATTTTATTTTTCCCAACAGACAATTTTGAACATCATCTGCGAAACCCACATTTATATTTTATTGTTGCATGCATAAGTTTTGAAAAAAATATTCAATTGCATCGGCCGGGAATCGAACCCGGGCCGCCCGCGTGGCAGGCGAGCATTCTACCACTGAACCACCGATGCTATATATTTGGGGCCTTACCACTATATTGCAAAGATATTTACAAAGAGGGTTCTACACTCACTATGATAACAATTTAAAGTATTGAGTTACAAATGTTCATAAAATTTGATTAAAAAATATGATTTAAATCGGTCAATACAGTTATATGGGAGCTATACCATATACATGTTTGTCTTATATCCAAGTCCCCAAAAAAATATCAAGAATAATATTGAAAATATGTTCCAAAAATCCGACAAGGATAAGTCTGAAATATTCTACAAGTGTCCTTGTAGTTCCGTGGGTAGAGCTTTGAACTTTAATTCAAGGGTCCAGGTCTACTAAGATTTTTTGCTAGGAAATTTTATATTGACAGCACAAAATACGAAAAGTACACACAATATTCATTACATGGTACTGATATGGGTCACCTATAAATGGCCTCACATTTTCTAATCGCATTTTAACTCCAATATATGCGGGATTTATCTGTGGAACAAAATCCACCCTTTTAAGAGATATTCTTTTAGCAAATCTCGACCCACTAGTGAGTCTTGTGTACTAAACCACCCCACCAATATAGGTTTCTTATATTATATTCGCAGAGAATCCGGTAAATAATCTTCATCTTATCCATGGACTTGGTTATTTAAAAAGTCCATTTCTGCATCGGCCGGGAATCGAACCCGGGCCGCCCGCGTGGCAGGCGAGCATTCTACCACTGAACCACCGATGCTACATACGCAAAGCAATAACTGCATTAATGATAATTTCGAGTATGAAGTATATATTCAAATATATGGGACCCGTTTTTTGGTATAATCAATCTTATTTCGATCAATTATTTTTCTCGAAATTCACAAAATTTCGCTTTGAAGTTATAGTTATTAAGAATAATAACAGATGTTTTTTTTTGTGATAACTGTGATATTTGACCACGTTTACGGTGTTGGCCATAACGTACAGTAGAAATTTTAAGTCCTCCTTAAAGTGTGAGATCGTGTGAACTATATTTTATATCCCTATTGGAAGTAATTCTCATATTCATTAAGCAAAGTTGTTTGAAATATCGGGTACCGATATTATCGAGCCCGGGTAGCTCAGTCGGTAGAGCATTGGACTTTTAATCCAAGGGTCCAGGGTTCAAGTCCCTGCTCGGGCGAATTGTACTTTTATATACCCCATAAAAATGGGTTTCAAAAAAACTGTGGATCTTATAAGGAGGGGAACTGACTTGTGCACCACTGCCGCCTGCCTGCCTCTACTATTAAATGTGGCGCAATAAGTTGCAAACCTTAACTCTCTGGATTCTACTTTAAATCCTGTATATTAACCATTTCTAGTTTTTGAAATGATACACTTACGATTCGTAATATTACGACGTATGTGATATATTTGTTGAAATATGTTACCCTTTTTTGTCAATTTTTATTATTTTAACTTATATAATGCATTTGTATTCCAAATATTTTGAATAATGGAAATGCTGCACCCAACAGATTATGTCGACCCATTGTTCTGGAAACAGCGAATGAAGAGGGTTAATATGTGCCCGGGTAGCTCAGTCGGTAGAGCATTGGACTTTTAATCCAAGGGTCCAGGGTTCAAGTCCCTGCTCGGGCGATACTTTTTTCTTTTTAATTTTGTGCATATTATACTATACACATTTAATAAATAAAACCGAACTTCGTTAAAATTAAGTATAAGCTCACAAGTTCTCCCAGTAGGGCCTATGTTGCGGATACTCCGATTTTAAGAGTAAAATATCAAATTGCATCGGCCGGGAATCGAACCCGGGCCGCCCGCGTGGCAGGCGAGCATTCTACCACTGAACCACCGA